GGCTGGGTATTTAAAACAGGAGAATTATTTTTCAAAGCTGGGATCATCAAGCAGAGTAAGTAGGATTATCTTCATCCCAATTGTTTCCCATGCCAGTGAATGGCTGCCACATGGCTGCAATATGTTCTTCAACAGTTTGGGTGGGAGCAAAAAAATGAAATCAGCAGAAAATTTCTAAGAACTATCACATCAAAAACTCATCCGTACCAACACCAGTCACCAACATGGTTAACAAACAGTTAACCAGTTAAGCTTATTACAGGTATTGGGAAATGGGGAGGAAGCTTCCTTTAGAAAATGTAAGTCTTGCCTGAGATTAACGGTCTCATGCTCTACCGACTGAACTAAAGAACTGGGCCAAAGCATACCTCAGAGGGGAGGATTCAGGGACACCCTACCCCCGGCAAAGGAATTAATCAGATAATTTATCAGAATATTATTTTCCAAGAAATTTCAACTCAACCCTAAAATTAATTTCCATCCATATGTTTGCGGCAGTTATTCACAGTACTTAAACTGACTATTGGAAATGCAGTGCTTTCAGGTTTTAGAGTCGGTGGTTTGGTGGTTTCTTCCTACACTTTAATATAAATATGCTATTAAACTTAATACTTTTGTGGCTGAGGGAAAGCAATAACAAAGTATAACTTCATAAATGCAACTGCCCATGCTGTGCTTCAAACAGCCGATTTGCACAAGAAACAGCACCCAAAGCAACTGTCTGCTGCACATCAAAGATGGAAGTTAATTTGCAACCAGTAGAAGTATTGGGATTTGGCTCAAATGTAGCATTCTGCCTGCTGATGACAAATTGGCATAGAATCAATTCTAATTTATAACAGCTTTGCTGATATTTATTGCATTGGTTTTATATTATTCATTTCAAAGTGCTTGGTTTCTTAATTATTATTAATTTATTTACAATTTCAGTTTGTGATTAAATTAGTGTTTTTAATTAGTAGGCAATGTTAGTCGATCTTCAAGGTTCCCTTTTCTGACGTAAGGGGACAAAGTTAAACTGACAAAAGCACTGAGGTTCAATCTTAAATATCGAGTCTGAAAGGTTATGACAGAGTTGAGGGTACAGATGGACAAATATGCCATTGTCAATTTCTCTCGTTTTCTCATTTTGCCAACCTCAAGTACAGTTCACTGCATTAGCTTGTGATTTTCTTTAAAGCCCTCATGAAAATCACCAGCATTTTAGTACACTTTTCTCCTAATATGTACACTTTTGCATGCTGTTTTGCCTGATATGCACATTTTGGAAAACAATTTCCCCTGATATAATGCACTTTATATGTTATCTTCACTAACACATGTATTTTATCTATCACTTTCTCCTCTAATATAACATTTTTTTCCAGCATTGCGTTGTTCAAGAACTGCACCACAAAATTCAGAAAGTGTAAATTTCAAACATGCAGCTGCTCTTTGGTCGGCATATTGTTTCGGGAAATGAGAAGTGAACCAAATTTACTCCCCACCTAGCTGAGGGACATCAAAGTTCCCATCAGGTTGCAATTAGTGGCAAATCGTGCCATTTATCATCTTGTCTGCATTACAAAATTCTATAGAGATGTCATACGTCTCAAACAATGGACACAGAAATGGCACTTTATGTGGCCAATCCTGGGGGGGGGGGGGGGAGTCCAGTTCAAAGAACAAGGTGTGGACAGGATAAGCAACTACAATGCTATGTATTACAAGAATAAACTAATTTCAATTATTCCTGGTTTGCTGCACAGTTTCAAAGATGGTATGTGTTCTTGGTATCTGAGATATTGGGGAAACAATCTCAAACCTGTGTGTGAACAGGAAGCCCGGCATCTAGCAGAAACTGAAAAAACAGTGTGTTGTGATGCTTGTCCAAAACTCCTTTAGTGATCCATTGATACTAGCCTCCTCTAAGCAGGTGTGTTCCAAATATAATTGGAAGTCAACTTCCATCTTTCCTGACGTTGGTGGTTGGGGCTGATGGGAGTTTCAGCTGCAGCACAAAGCACCACCAAGTTGGGGAAAGATGATTTATACCAGACTGTGGAAATACACTGTATTCACAGCTCTCATAGAGATGGCTTTGTAAGGCGTGAGTAGTATCACAGACGATGCTTCTTGGTGTTCAGCATTCATCATTTTGCAGTGCCTATGATTCAACTGTGCGATGCAGAGAAAGCACAGCAGCGTCGCATCTGAAGTTGCATCAATAGAGGCAAGTGGTGGTTTATCTAACAATGGAAACTTGTACCAAAATAAGAAACCACAAACCGATTGATATAACGAGCACTCACACTTTACATTGTGGGTGCCCTTTGTGGGATTGCGCATGGTGCTACAGTTCCTAGGGAGCTTACTGGCAAACTGGGGCTGCTTTGCCTCTCAGTGTTAATTTTTGGAGGTTCACACCCAGCCTCAGTAACCAAGTTTCTTGCTGGGAGGTGGGGCCAGCCCCATTTATAAAGAGGGGGTAGAGCCGACAATAGCCAGGCAGTCGGCTCTGGAGATTCCTCCTCCCTACCCTCCCTTTGTTTAATGTTTCTTGTTTGCAGGTTAACGTTTTCTTCCTGTTTAACAGGTGCTGCTATGGTCTTTGACTGGTTGCTGTTGAAGGACCAGGAAGAATTTTCCTGCATTGGCAGCTTTTGTCTTCCCCGTAGCAATTCGTCACAACTTTGTCGGTTATGGCCTTGGGTGGAATCCTTCAGTCTTTTCTTCCCCATATGGGGGGGCATGAAGTGGTGACTCACCCCCCCAGTGGCAGCGATTCCAGGGTCCCCTTCTTAAAGGGGTTCTATATATGTGTGTGTCACTGGCCATACACTGAAAGGTCATCAGTGAACTACCTTGGCTGCCTGCTATACTTACGTCTCGCAGAGCACCCCCATATCCCATTTACCTTGTTGAGCCCCAGCAGTCATTGCCAAGTCATGGAAAGAATATGCAACCAGTAATTTGTTACACAAAGACAGCAGAGATCACCACCTATTTTAGTATTTGGAGAACTCAGGTTTAGGCTGATGGTAAAGTGTCTTTGTTTTTCAAACACGGATAACACTTGCCCTGATGTTAATGCAGTAGCTATTCATGGTCCTGGATAGATAAGTGTACTCAACGCTGGGACTGCTCTTCAGTGTCAGGGGTATGCTGAACTGGTTTTCTAGTCATGCATACTAGTCAACCAATGTTGCATGGAATGTGATGCGAGTATGAGACACCTCTGTCCATCAACTGCTATGGATTTTGAAAACAAGACCGAATTGTTCAAAGTTCTTGTAGAGATTATCTCAAGGCGTGTCTACAAAATAATCTTGATTAGCCAGCAATTTCCACCATCCATCATTTTGACATTAGTACTGTCACCCCATACAACCATGAAGAAATGCAATCAAGAATAACGTTCCTCATGTAAGATGCTGCTTTCACTGATAATTGCTTGAGAAAACAGATCAGGACTCTTGAATCTTACACTGAAGCCCTCGCCATTTTATTCTTTTTGCAGATTTCTGTTAAGCTGTGGCTTTGGTCTAGCAAAGCACTTTACACACAGAGATGTTTGTGATATTGCTATGAAACTTGGTGAGAAGATGACCAAGGCATTGATTCTCTTTCATGAATCCATAGCTTGAGACGCCACGTCATCATTTGCAGGAAGCAGGACCTCACAGCATGGGACATGTAGTCAGTCTTCAGGATTTCAGACACACTCATATTTTCAGTGTTGAAACTCATGGAGTTCAATACATGTTTTTAGGTAGGATTGAAAGGTACTTTGCACTGATGTACAACTGTGGTGAATATATATCACTGAATGAAGAGATGCTAGCGCTGCTTTTCACATGATAGTTCCATCAAATACATTTAATCAATAAAAGAAATGTTACAATAACATATCATGCATTGCTGTCTACTAGGCTATTCATGTATGGGCATAGCTGTCAACTTTTCCCTTTTCTTACGAAGAATCCTATTTGGAATAAGGGAATTTCCCTTAAAAAACGGAAAACGTTGACAGCTATGTGTATGGGGGTGAAGAAGTGGTTACTTGCAACCTCTGTCAGCGCAGGGGTTATAATTGGAGAAACGGGATGGAAACCACATTGGATTACACTTTCACAGGTTTAGGATTTTTGCTATGAAGTGATTACTGTGGATGTAAAACAGACTGCTCTGGAAAATGTCCGCGTCAGAAGAATGAATTGCAATGAAGACATCTGTGGTCATGTACATGTCAATGTCACTGATGAAATTTTGGTATGCAGTGCATTCATGCGAATACACCCTCAAAGCATAAAACACCAAAAGAACATATGTTATTATTCTACATCTTATTACATCTGAAAGGCTGGTATTACATTGGAATAACTTCATTTATAAATTTTACATGTTTTTAGATGCTCCTAATGTCTTTATATTATTATAAAATGTATTGTTTTGCTAGTTTGTTGTTTGCCGCCCTGGGGCTCTTTTGGGAATATTTTATATATATATTTTTGCAGTTTCCATCACTGAAGCAGCCATTTTGGAAAAAGGCCACTGCTGCCCAGCAAGGCTGAAACTGGGTTGCTCCTAAATATTATTTTGATCAGTTTGGAAACCATGCATTTGAACTATTTTTGTTTGTTTAAAGGTAAAGGTAAAGGGACCCCTGACCATTAGATCCAATCGTAACCCAACTCTGGGGTTGTGGCGCTCATCTCGCTTTACTGGCCTTCCGGGTCATGTGGCGAGGATGACTAAGCCACATGTACAGCTTCCGGGTCATGTGGCCAGGATGACTAAGCCATTTCTGGCGAACCAGAGCAGCGCACGGAAACGCCATTTACCTTCCCACCGGAGCGGTACCTATTTATCTACTTGCACTTTGACATGCTTTCGAACTGCTAGGTTGGCAGGAGCAGGGACCGAGCAACGGGAGCTCACCCCGTTGCGGGGATTCGAACTGCCGACCTTCTGATCGGCAAGTCCTAGGCTCTGTAGTTTAACCCACAGCGCCACCCATGTCCCTTTTTCTTTGTTTCTTTGTTTCTATTACAATGTGTAAGACTCTACCAGTTGCTGGGAATCACAGGTGAGGAGGGTGATGTTGAGCTCATGTACTTCCCATGTACTTCCCATGTACTTTTGTACTTCCCATGGGCATCTGGTTGGCTTCCATGAGAACAAGATGCTGGACTCAAAGGGCCATTGGCCTGATCCAGCAGTGCTTTTCTTATGTTTATATTCTCGCACAAAAACCCCCAACAACATTAACATCTGCACTACTACAACTGGTTTCAAAATTTCCATTCACTCAGTTACACATCCCTTTTTCAAGAATGGTGTCTATTCTGTTCTACATATCAGATTGGTTTGTCGTTGGTTGCTGCGTTCAGTTTTCAAAAACGCCGATGAAAAATCCAGGTATCAGATATTGCCAAGGTTTTGACAAAGTGAATGGCCATAGGCAAACGTAGGAATAGGTAGAGAAGTAAAAGAGAATGGAAAGTGTTTTGCAAGCCCATTTGTTTTTCATTCAGCTGACATCAGTCTACACCAACCTCACCTTTAGTGGCAGGTAGAGACGTACCTCAGATTTCCCTTATGTAATATTTGCCATTTTTCCTGGTTTCAACTTCATGCTGTCTTGAAGATTCTCTTGCACTGCGCGTTCATCATATTGCTGCAATCTGAGAAAATAAATGCAACTTGTTATATCAGCAACCAAAGGACCAAATTATTACACCTGCCATTTCCTAATTTGCAAACAGTGTAGGATTTTGCAAATAAAATCTTTTCTAAGAAATTTTGTTATCCGAATATAATATATAATATTCTGCAGGGAAGACCATAGGTAGGAAGATGGTGCTTTTCAATATGAAATACCACTGTATTACACCGGGTAAATTCCATGACCCCAGTACATTTCCGAGCACAATTCAAAGTGTTGGTGCTGACCTTTAAAGCACTAAACGCCCTCAGCCCTGTGGATCTGAAGGAACTTCTCCACCCCCATCATCCAGCCTGGACACTGAGGTTCAGCTCCAAGGGCCTTCTGGCAGTTCCCCCTTGTGAGAAACGAAGCTACAGGGAAGCAGAGGGCCTTCTTGATAGTGGCGTCCACCCTATGGAATGCCTTCCCATCAGATGTTAAGGAGATAAATAACAAGTTGACTTTTATAAGGCATCTGAAGGCAGCCCTGTACAGGGAAGTTTTGAATAGTTAATGTTTTATTGTGCTTTTAATATTTTATTGGGATCTGTCCAGAATGGCATATTATTATTATTATTATTATTATTATTATTATTATTATTTGTTTTGTTGTTGTTGTTGTTGTTTAATTGTTAAGCAATAAACAAAATGTGTAGAAGAGCAGTGCAATTTAGTCACATTAACTCTTTATGTTGTTACCACCATTAATTTAAAAAAAATCTGAATTCTGAAGGAAGCTGGCAGTTGTGCACCAGATGTGAAAGTGCTTGACATGAATATGCACTGATCAAGTAGGATCAGCAAATCAGTATGCATGTTCATCGTTTCCTACTGCCAGGGAGCCTATTATTGACCCAAAAGATTATTCTGGTGGCACTTGAAGTACGTTTACTTGCTCTCTGAAAATGGAGTGCACTGTTGAAATAAAGCTCTCCAACTAATAATGCATGTGTGCACGGCAATCCTACAGAGATGGGATGATGGTGATCCATGCTAATTTCAGAACAAGCACATGCGTGGGGGCTATTGCTAACCGACCTGCCTGAGGAAGTGCAAAGATTGCAAACAGAACGACATTATCCACAGAGATTCCATTGGGTCCGGCTGATCTAATCTTGCTTCCTGGAGGAATTTTCTCTAACGAGCAACTCCAAATGGGCAGTACAGTATATAAATAATGATTATCCTCTTATCTCTTCTAGGTCACAAGCTCCAATGCATGCACATAAGTTTATTGGTTGCAACATCTTTCATGTTAATTTCAACAGAGTGTGCTACAGAGACATGCGAGAGCACACATGCCTCTCTAGCTTAATTCATTAAAGAATATATGTATTCTGCCTTTTATCCCAGGGTAGGATACGGAGCATAAATAATAAAACACACAACAGTAAAATAATAAAATAAACTGTTTAAAAAGCAAACAGATGTGTCTAAAAACAACAGAGAATGGCCTTAATATTGACAATCCCACAATCTCTACATTGTGATCTGCCGCTTTATGTGCCAACAGGACACACATTTGGGTTTACAAAAAGTTAAAGCACCAACGTCAAACCAAAAAGTAATGGGTTACTTAAAACATACTTTCTCCTCACTTCTGGACTGCAAGATCTCCACTGTTTTGCTAATGGAACAATCTCTTATTTCTAGAAGAGAGGTGCCTAGTTTGGTTTTTATAAATCGTAATGCCTTCATCTGTTCTGTAAATCAACCACACAGGAGTGCAACTGCTTTCCTCATTATTATCCCCGAAGCAAATATTCTCATCCTGACTTCATGTTTAGGTTCGGATGATTTAACAAATATCTTGGCAATCCCATTTTCTAGACAGTGGGAACTGGAATCAGATTCTGGGAAAGAATGAGTAGGCGAAGGCACAGGAGCAACCTAGCAGAAATAATACTGTAGGAAACAGGATGGAAACGTGAAAATCAGCACACAACAAACTTAAGGCATCACACCGTGTCCTGTGTGCAGTTTCCCATGCACATTAATTTCCTTTTGTGAGGATTTTCTTTTCTTTTCTTTTTTGGTTAACAGTTGTCCTGATTTGGCTTGGAAAGGCATTTGTTTTATTTTTTTTCATTGTGTGTGGGAGAGAATATACAGAGACCTCCTTTTTAAGTTGAGACGAGACTGCCGTACCTCAAATTTCCTGGATGAGTTTGCACAAGACTGTTAAATGGATTTCCAAAGCCTGTTTTCTCCTTCTGTACAGTCATGGCCAGGATAAACTTGGCCTTATTTAGTGCAATAAGAAATATATCTATACACGTGTGCAGGATGCAATTTCCCCTTTCCAATAGCAAAACAAAGCATTTGCAAATCAGTTTAGTGCGGACATTTCCCTGGGTTAAAAAAACCTGCTCAAGGGGCTGAGACTACATATTACTGATCATCTGTTCAGGAGGAGCCCTCTTCTCTCTCTTTCCTTCCCCCTGAACAGATGATTGGTAGTACAGAACACAATCTAATCCAACTTCTTCATCAGGCTTTCTTTCCCACCCTCCACCCCCAAGGGAAATGCATGCACTCATCTTCCCATCAGATCAGAACAAATGGCAGCATCAAGGAAGTTCAAAATATGACTATTGCAATTCTATCATGCAAAAGAAACATATGGTGCAGATTTGAAGATGTGTGGAGAATTTTTGCTATTTCAGCTAAATCTGTTGACCTGTCAAATGTTCAGCAAATAGCTATTAAATGAGTTAATGTTTATATTCAGCTTGCATTCTTTTGATGAAGAAGTTTATGTTTGGGCAGAATTGGTTTTTGGCTGGAGACATTCTCAGGGCTGCGCCATTATTGTCTTCAATAAGCGACCTCAGCACAGCAGCCTTTTAGAGATTCTGTTAAGGAAACTGCAAGCTGAACTCAACCCAATGCATGCAAAACAAACAAACATCAACAAAAGGGCTATGCACCACATCCCTAGAAACGGTACTGCTGTGAGGCAATTCAAGCTTGTTAGAGCCACCCCATTGTTTCACGGGGAAAGAGGGTGACATGAGTGAGCATGTTAGTAGCTCTCATCCTAAATGTTTTCTAATTCAGAGAGTGAAAAGAGAGACGCTAAGGAAGCCTATAGCATTTTCTAATGACAGTGCTTTTTTCTGGAGGGACGCAGGGGTACACATACCCCTAAAGATTTTGTGAATCTAAGTTTGGCCTCATTGAGTGGCAGTATTTCGATATGAGTAAGAAAATGAGAGTAGCCCTAAACATTTATTTATTTATTTATTTTAGAAAAAACACTGGTACAGGATGTAATACTCCTCCTGCTTATGTTGACATGGGAAACCCTATTGCGGGACACATCCTGCACATCATGCCCAATTTCATCAACTGATGGCAGTGGGACCAGCTTAGGATGCACAGAATCCCCACACCCAGAATGCCCCATTGCAGGGCTTTCTGTAGGAAGAGCAAATAAACTGTATTGTACTTTGGTGGTGGTGGTGGACTTCCAAAAGATATGCAGCCTTATGCTTTTCAGTTCCCTCTTTAGCCTGCTGAAACCCTTGCTTTGTCAGGCTGTGCACAGGACTGCAACCACCCCACTCTCGTCCTCCCAATTCTGTGGTTCAGCAACTGCATTCAGCTCTTGTACTCTGTTGAATGTTCTAATCTGAGCTCTGAGCTGCCTCCACCCCCATCCATACCTTCTTCAATGGAAAGTGTGGAAAGTGGTCACTGGACCATGGATCTCTGTTGAAAATAGAGAGGTGTTATTTTTTTATGGAGACTCAAACGGCATGGCACAGCTAGATGTTAGTTAACATTTGTTTTAAATTCATCTTAGTGCTACAGCACCGTGTAAACTCGCTTCTTGCCTTTTTGCTGCCTTTTCCATTCATTTCCTCTGCAGACTTCTAAAACCTCAAGTCCATTGGCAAATCTATTCCCAAAACTAATTTCTGAATGAAAGACTGAGATCCAGAGCTACTGCGAGTGTAGTGGTTCTGAGGTGTGTGCATGTCTGTGTGCACACCTGTTTGTAAACAGGTCCATCTTCAAAAGCCAGTGGAGAGCCAATACAGATTTAAAACTTTTAAAAAAGCTTCCCGGCTAGTGATTTGACCTGCAATCACCACCCACTGGTGCAGGGGAAAGAGCTGTGGCTCAGGGGTAGAGCACATGCTTTGCTATACAAAAAGTCCCAGGTTTGGATGTCCCTACCAGTTTCCCCAAATATATTATTCTTACATGATGATGGCTTGGCTTGGATGTCTGAATTAATGTTTTAGTTTGGACCCAAAGATATTTGACAATAATATTTGTATTTTTCTTTTTAAACTCTAATAAAACTACACGGTCAGAAAACACAGGCTTCTGATCGTAACGGATAATTAAAGAGAAATGTAACGAAGAAACAGGAATCGGGTGCGCACATGTACACGTTTTGTGTGCAATTCCCCAGCCCAAACAGAACATAGGAATCTGCATTATGCAGAGCCAGGGCACTGTTCCACCATCTACCTGGGTGGCAGCAAATCTCCATGGTTGCTGGTTGCTCCATGGTCAGGCATGAGACATTCCCAGCCGTACCAGGAGATGCCTGGGATTGAGTCTGGGACCTTCTGTGTGCAAATCAGTTGCTCTACAACTGAGCTAGAGCCCTTCCCCAGCCAGAGCTGCGCGTACATAGCCTCGATCAGGCTGATGGAATTTAGGATGGGGAGATGGAGGCTGACTTAGTCTCCCTCCTGTCCCCTGCCAAACAACTGATTAGTGCTGTTGCTGAGGATCTGGCTGGAACAACCTGTATCCAGCCTTTGTCGCTGTGCACGCATGGAGCTGAAACAGGGCCAGGGCGAGCAAGGCATTTCCCACAGCATGTTTCTTGCCCAAGGACTGGATATATAATACCTAATGAACCAGGAACTAAAAAGCACTGTCTGGAAAGTATTACAGTAAAAGCAGTGAGATACATCACATGGGTATGTCTAATGGGTTTCTGTTGAAAGTTAG